ATGTCCTGATTTTGAGAGTGGACAGAGACATAGCATTAGGAGGAATCAGAAGTGACATATAGTACTCATGTATGAACTTCTCAAAATATTAATTTGAGCGTTTACTCTTGCCAGATGTGGTAGTGCACACCTTTAATCCCAGCACTGAAGAGGCAGAGGCAGGTGATCTGTGAGTTTGAGGCCAATCTTGTGTAAATAGTAAGTTCTAGACCATCTAGAGATATGTTGTGAGATACTGCTTAAAACAACAAAAACAAACAAGCAATAACTAACCAACAAACAAAATCGAAAAAAGTTTTCTCTTGTATGAGAAAAACTTATATTGGTAGTTCTTAGAAGAGGAAGTTTCTATTATGTATTAAAACGGAAATAGAAAATCAAGAGCCTTTCAGGTACTATCAACAATCTGCTGACACTGACGCTTTCCCACCACACAGGAAAATCTAGAGTAGAGCTACTCGGTGCTACTTTTTGATCCGTGACAGTGTATATCACTAGCTAATTTTGTTTTAGGGTTCGATTGTCCACTTTATAGAAAGAAGATCTACAGGAGCAAGTCCTATTAGCACTGATAGGAATTACCAGAATAAATCTTAGAGAGATCGGCAAAAAGACTCTACAGTCTCCTAGGATTCAAGTTCTAATGACTGATGGCCTATCAAATGAATCCTGAATCCTCATCACCAGATAGAGGAGACACAGTAACTCACAGAGGAGGAATTTCTCACTGGAGTCCATAGCAAAACTGCATTAATGGGAAGAACATGGCCTTCAAAATGTGACTCGGAAAGCCCACTGTTAAACTGTTTGGTGTCCTAAACAGCTATAATTAAAGAGAATTCGAACATATCACAGGATTTCTTAAAAGAGTCTTAATACTCTATGAGCAACAAGGTGATTGAAGGATACACAGCCACTTGTTTAAAAATTCAATCAACCTTAGCTTTCAAAGACTTGATTTATTAATAATCTCACAGATAAAATTGCTTGTTTTGCAAGAGTTCTGGTTAGATTAGCTTTTCTATATGTTCTGAGGAGCTTCATGAACTACTTGGAATTGACAGAAAATATCAGTAATCTTTGATTACTTCGTTCAAGAAAAACCATAGCTTAATGAATTATTTCTGCATACAAAGAACAGAAACAATAATTTTTCCTACTGCAAATAAGCTGTAAGAGAATCAAGTATTTCCAGTTTTCATCACCAAACATGAAAAACCATTTTGGATCTCCTAAGATGTGAAAGCAGGCTGTAGGTGATCAACGTACTGTAAAGCATAGCTTATGTATGCCTCACAGCCTCCGTAACAGTGATCTCAGGATAAACTACTATCGACTTTTGCTTGATAGTGACATTAATATTGGTATCTAGAATATTTTGCTAAGTAAACCAAAGCCACTCAGTTTGGTAGTCTGTCATACTAATTTACCACTGTGGGTAGGTAGAAGCCTGCTAATTAAACAAAACACATAGCTGACAATTATTTAATAGCAGTAAAAGAGCAGAAAAGTAACCCAGATCCAAGACAACCTTTCAGTTATTGGCATACACACGCACACATGTTTTTTGAGACAGTGTTTCTCTGTGTAGCCCCAGCTGTCCTGGAACTCACTCTGTGGACCAGGCTGTCCTCAAACTCAGAGATCCACCTGCCTCTGCCTCCTGAGTGCTGGAATTAAAGTGGTGTGCAACCACCATCCAACACATATATTTTTAAAAGTTGTTTTTGGGATTAGTATTTTATACCAATCAATATACATTAAGTCAGTCTCCTATTAAAGAATCCTTATTAAGTTATAATCAAACACATGCAGAGTTGACTATAAGCTAAGGGAACCTTGGATGAGGTGTGGAAGTGCAATAGAACAGGCTATCTACTCCTAAAAGTTCTAGTAGGTAGACTTTGCTAAACAAAGTCTCTACCACTGAGGTGCATCTCTAACCCTATATACAAAATTCAAGCATGAAGAAATAGGCCATTACAGTGGAAAGGCATTGAAAGTCTTTATTTCCTCTAAAAACTCCCTGTTACAGTATGCAATTATATACTCATGCTTTTTCAAATACATATAAGAAAGTTTACTGAGCAAAAGACAAATTATTTAATACCAATAACAGTGTATAAGTAATTTGCAAGAAAATGGTTTAAATTTCTTTAAATGATTGCTACTATTTAGGAACTAGAAAACAAAATTGAAGACAGAAACAATCTAGAATCTTGTCAGAAATTAATAATTGTCAACAATCAACTTTATAATTGATATTATTTTAGAAATTTTCACTATTCTATAAGTTACCCATGACGTGGTGGCCATTTTACTATAGAAAAATAGAAAGTGACATCTATTATTTATGTTTTCTTGAGCAGGCACACCAATTAGAAAAAATATACAAAAGCAACATAGGATTAGTTATTGGATCTGATATCAATCACTTAAATTAATGATAGAATTTTTGGTTACTAAGAAACAGGCATGCATATTTAAATATTTTGAACATACAGGTATAAATTCTTTGATTACAGCAACTTTCAAATTTGAAATTACTGAAACATCTGCATTATGTAAAACAACAATTTTCTTCATATGACTTTAGATTTACGGTTTTACAACACTATTTTAATGTTTGTTGTTGGTATTGTTTGGAACTTCAAACCGTAAAATCAAGTATTTCCTTGCAGTAATTAAGAAAACAAGAAAAAGCTCTTAAAATGTTTCGTATTGCATTCTGAGGTGACAGGAAATAGGCAGAATTGTCCACAATTTTAAAAAAGTTTCATGGTATTTAAGGAGCTTTAAGCATTTCAACAATATATTTAGTAAATGGCCAGGAAGAGCAATTGGTTTTGATGTCATCAAAGGAATGGAAAAAGATACAGTATGAGCTAGGCCATGAAAGCATAACACAGTTGCTCAACAATTTACACAGCTGCAGTGTCCAGAGGTTTCTATTTACTCTTAGCCTATCTAAGAGCCTGTCTCCTTAGATAAATGTGCATGCTGTATTTAGTAATCCTTAACTCTAGATATTATAACAAAGTAGAACATTTTTATTGGTGCAACTTTACTGTGATTGCATTCCAACTTAATACTCTCATCTAAGAGAAACTTTTCTATTGCTGGCATGGAGAGGCAGGACCAATACCTGGTGCAGTACAGGTATGTACTTGGCATTTAGTGCATGCCCTGGTTGGGCTTCAGGAAACAACAGCTGACTGAAGAGCTGAAGCTTTGTGACAAAGTAGGTCATAATGTGAATCTGTCCCTGATTTGTGTGGCATTACAAAAGGGAAGGGGTACTACAGAGGAGAGGGCTGTACAGCGGGAGTGCAGGCAGCCTGAGAAGAGCAGTCTGGGAGTCTGGGACGCTTTCCCTGTTGTTCTCAATCCAATTCAATCTGAAGGGGTCAGCAAGAGGAACAGTCCTTGGATTTTTCTGTTTATCAAGACTCTCTGCTGGGAGTTTCCTTTGAGATCTTCTCTGAAACCTGGCCAGGCCAGGAACCAGCTGCACATGAAGAACTCTGTGCTGTTCACTGGAGCCATGGCTCCCTGACAGGAAACTGGGTTTATTTATTGTTTATTCATTTACAGGCAGTTCTAGGTCCAAACTATTGCTCAAAGAAAGTAGACCATCAGAGCTCAGAGAAATTTAAATACAGGCATTGCAAATAAGTTTGCTGCCATTGTATAGCCCTCATGTTTTCATGTAAAGAGTGTATTACAGTATATTAACTGCCAGATTCTGTTTAGTTTTCCATGATCTTATATTTAGTTGCCAGAAGAGGAATATGAATTTATAAAATATTTCTAAGACTTTAAAAACTTTAAAGTCTTTAAAAACTACCAATCCACTTGCTACTAATGAGTTTAGGAAACAGACTTGCATTTAATTTTTTTTCTTTTCTTTTTTGGTTTTTTGAGACAGGGTTTCTCTGTGTAACAGTTCTAGCTGTCCTGGAACTAGCTTTTGTAGACCAGGCTGGGCTTGAACTCACAGAGATCCTCACAATCACTCTGCCTCACGAGTCCTGGGATTAAAGGTGTGTGCCACCACCACCAGGCTGCATTTTAAAAATTTAGCGCAATACATGTAACACTGTGATCGTGAGGTTGGTTTGATATTTATCCACAGGTCAACCAATGGGAAAGTTCCAAACAGTGTGTTTCCAGAGGAGCCACTCTAAGGATGGTGCTTCATAACTATTCTGACACACTAGGCACAGTAGTCCTCTTTAGATCTGCAGAAACTGAAGAAGTTAAACAAGCTGCCCAATATTTTAAGTTGCATAGCCATGACCAAATTAGTTCTGTGAACAAGGTTAGTGCTTCCGTTACTCTGACTTAGTAGAATCATGAAGGATCACTGATCTTATCCAAATGTATGCTTCTATTCTTACGTTTCATCTTTAAACTTTAGCCAGTGTGTATAATATTACACCAAAGTCACTACTTACTAACAAATCATGATTAGCAAATCATCTAAACACCTTAGTATTAACATTTTCAGTTTTTAACATATAAAATAAAACCAACTTTTACTTCAAATATAGGCTTCTGGCCAGATTATGATAGTTTAGCTTTACTCTATTGTATTTACATATGCTCTTATCTGTTATATCATACCCAGAATGAAAATATAATTCAAATAAACGAAATAAGTACGAGAGCTGATTCTCCAGATGTGGCAAATTTATGTGAACACCACATAATTACTTACAATGCATAGGATCCCTTTAACATCATAGCTACATTCCCAGGAATGCTAATCTCACAGGTTTGTTATCTTCAAATAGGCAAGTCAATGCGCTTTATAAGTGTTTTATTTTCCCAGAAATGCTTTCTTTGAAGAAAATTGCCCTTTAGATTTCTAGGACTCATTTCGTCTTGTAATTTTGCCTACTAGTTGTTGCTTTCTAAGTTTTCATATACTCTATCCATCAGGACTATGAAGCCAAGAAGAATTCTCAAATTAGGATAGTAAGTCTAATGCATATCCACTACTTAGAGGGCTCCTCTGGGTATCCCAGGTCTGTATTTCCCTTGGGAGTCTCTGAGTTGGTCTCTGATATAACAGTGGATTCTGATGCTTCTTGTTGTGAACTGTCTCCATCAAAGACAATATCTTCAGGATTTGGTGGGGCTGGACAGAAGTCCTCATTTGGGCAGATTTGCTGGAAGAGTGTTTCTGCCTAGACAAGGATGAAAGGACAAATTAATTTTTGAACATCAGCTTCAAATGTATGTGCATTTGTGGCATTATATAAAAAAAATCACATCTTTAAAAATTTATGTAATTACGTTTTAACCAGTACATGTGGTTGAGTTTAGTAGGACAAGGTAAGAGAATAAAATAGCAAACATGATACTAATAATAAATATAATAGATGTGGCAAGTTGCAATAATCCACCTTACTGTTAGTTAAAGCTTTGTATCATGATAGGGGGCTTTTATTTTTGGCAACTGGTGAGGAAGAGTCATTTTAAGGTGTTAAAGAACATACTGATTTCCTATACTGCTTCTCTCTTTTTTGTAATACATATGCAAGGTCATCTATTTGGCCAAAAGTTAATCACCTATGGCCGTAAGGTCCAACCCAGAATATCTCTTGCTTTATCTGTTTGGTCAAAACTTGACCATCTATGGCCCAAGGGTCCAACCCAGACTACCTCTTGATTTTTTTTAAATAAAGATTTATTGGAACACAATTCTCATTAGTTTACCTATTATCTATATCTGCGTTTTCTCTTTAATGGCAGAGCTGAGAAGTTGCAATGAGGAGGACACACGCTGAACAACCTAAATATTGACCTTCACTATTCTGGGAGTTTGGTGGAAGGGTAATGACAGAATCATAGAAACATTTAAAGTTGATTTGAACTATTTATTTTTAGTGTGTGTGTGTGTGTGTGTGTGTATGTGTGTGTGTGCGCGTGCGCGCGTGTGTGTATACTTGTGCCACTGTACATATGTAGAAGCCAGAAGACAACTTCCCAGAATTGGTTTTCTCCATCTACCTAGGGTTATGGGATTTGAGCTCTGGTTGTCAGGCTTTTATGGCAAGCACCTTTACCCCACATAGCCATTTGTTTTAATTTAATATGGATTTGCAAGTAATTTGATTTTTAGGTAGGCTTCAAGTGTACACATATTTTGTAACAGAACATTTCCTATGTATATACTTAAAAAATTTAACCATTTAGTTGGATATATGTGTGTGTGTGTGTGTGTGTGTGTGTGTGTGTGTATGTATATATAGTGACATCTTGGCATACATAGTACAATGGTTACCAAAATCAAATGAAATAAAACATGCTTTCACTTGAATTTGGAAAGTATATTAAGGAAAAAGGCTCAAACTCAGAGTGACAACAATCAAGTTTTGTTTGAAAATGCCATAATGATTCGAAATACTTTTTATGTTACTTAAAAATAAAACCAACCACAGATATCATTTTGGATATTTGTAGTTAGAACACTTAAGATCTATGCATACTGAACTGGAGGCTTCTAAAGTCAGATCCAGAAGTATTATTAGTAAGTCATCAGTGCATCTTAGAATCATAAGCTGTCACATATGCATACAAGAGAGTCAGATTCACATATTCAATCTCTTTGCAATATGAAGTAAAGAAAGGAACAAAATTTCCAAAAGCTAAAATGTAGACTTTTAGTTGAAAAAGAAATATATTACAACACTGCAGGAGCCTGTGTAATTTATATAGGCAAAGCCAAGATAATATTCTGAGAGCTTTCATGAATACTTTCCTTAATTAGAAAACAGAAGTTGGCAATAGGTAACTCATTTAATCACATGATGATATACTGGAATTAGAGCTTAATTTATCCAAATAAATTGGCAATGTATAAATATTACTGATGCTCTTTAAAGAAAGCATACTTTTCCTCAAGTGGATATAAGATATAACATGTTAGTGAGTATTTAAACATTAATGCTGTTTTCTTCATTATATTTCATATAACCCATGAAAGTTACCTTTCTGTGAAGCAAACTACTGTGTTGAAAAATTGCCTTTTAACTGTAATCTTCTAGTATACAGTATATATATAAAAGCACTTGTATTATAAATCTTTACTTTAAAATTCTCCTATTTTGGTTTAAACAATGTTTTGTTTACTCAGAAAAAATACCAGCCTAACCAAAGTTAATTAGATAAAGGGTTTTTGAAAATTTTCTTCTTTCAAGAAAAATGGGTCACTAAGTAAAAACAACATTATTAGCTTAAGACATAAATGCAAATCTTAAGCTATGGGTACGAGATGTAATTCCCTGTTTGTGTGACATTGCTCAGGGTCTAGCATAATTTTCAAAGACCAATATTAGGCTCTAATGATGACTTATAAAATTATAGCAAAAGGCTGCATCACTGTTCATAGAATTATTGCTGTGACGAAAGGGTATTTTAAGGATTCAATAAAACTACTTGGTACTAAAAGATCGCTGCTACTGGTGAGAATATAATTGAATTCATGTCTTCTGTGGTCTTAGAGTCACCCCCACCCACATACACACATTCCATAAAACTCAGGAAACTGCTGACAAGGGGGTGGAAAGAAGACATGAAATACCATCTTTTAAGTAAGAAAGATATAGCCATGGCAACCATGAATTCATAACAGCTGTGTTCACAGAAGCTAGACCCTCATAACTGCCAGGTACAGAGAAGGAGATGGGACTGAAGGTGATCTACACTTACTGCATATATTTTGGTAACCAATAGATTCTAGGACTGGGGAGGCAGAGTAACCCATTGCATACTAATTAGTTCAGGTCCTCAAGGTTAGTTTTGAAATTACGGTTACATACTTGGCCTTAATTAAACTGTATGGAGGCATTAAACAAAACCAAAGCTGGTAAACAGGGAAAGAGATTTGTAGGGTGTCTGTCAGTCTGTCTGTCAGTCAGTCAGTCTCTGTCTCTCTCTCTCTGTCTCTCTGTCTCTCTGTCTCTCTCTCTCTGTGTGTGTGTGTGTGTGTGTAGGGGGAGATTACTGATATGGTTGGCAAGGAAATAGGAATGGGTAAAAGAGTATTTAGAACACACAAAGTACATACATGGAATTGCGAAGAACAAAATTTACTAAAAATCATTAAATTATTGACTTGCTGATTAAATGATGAAAGTGCCAAAAGGACCTGACAAAAGTTTCCACATTTGCCTAAAAGCATGCCTTCTCTTCTTTTCTTCCTATCAAGGTAAAAAAGGGGTTTTTAAAATATGTCCTAAGAATCTTCTGCTTACTGGAATCAGAGTGTACATTTGGCATCTAAAATAAGTGTGCCCTTCTTCACCATTCTACCTAGAATTGTCCACATGGATTTAACATACTTTTTGGCAACTATAAGAGCAGCTTTGGAGGCACTGGCTTGAGTCAAAACATTAATGGTGTTATGTTCATTACGTAAAATTACATTACTCATTCTCTCCAAGATTAAGAAATGCATGAAACCATTGTAAAATTATCTTACATATGTCGGGCGTTGGTGGCGAACACCTTTAATCCCAAAACTCAGGAGGCAGAGGCAGGTGGATTTCTGTGAGTTTGAGGCCACCCTGTTCTACAGAGTGAGTTCCAGGACAGGTTGCAAAGCTACATAAAGAAACCCTGTCATGAAAAAGAAAAAAGAAAAAGAAAAAAAAATCTTACATACTTTGCTTGTTCTAACCTTCCTGGAAATGGCTTAGGCTCCTGGAGAACAACATTTTTTTTAAATATGCACCAATAATCCAATGATTATTAGAAGCAATATTTAAGAATATTGGCATTTCAAATTCATTTTAGCAATATATATTTATAAAATTTTCATTATTTATTCTCAAAGTAGTTCTCATAAATAAGCCTTTATAATTCCTTATACAATTTAAGGAGGTAAAACAGTTGATAGAGTATTTAAGGTAGCAATGTAGTTCACAGACAAAAAGCCAATGATTATTAAATGAAAAAGAAAGATGTTTTACTACTTTCTTTCCCCTCTACCCAGGAGGATAAAAACTACTCACTTATCCCAGAATATCAATTTTTTAAATACAAAACTAAGAAATGCCATGCCGTACCTGTTTGACTGCATTATCATTTCCTAGATCACAGTCTGGGCCAGAGCACACATAAACGTTGGATGGTAAATCATTATAACAATCTCTGCTAATATCTGATGAATCTCTCATATTGAAATACAGTGCCCATAGAATCCTTGGCTTTTCAATATGTTCATTTTCTGGAAGTAAAAATAAATTTTATCAAATTGAAAATCATAATTTATTATACTATATGGCCAAATACGAACAAAGTCATGATTAGACTTTATAGAAAATATTTTTATAAATAAGCAATTACTGCAAATAACGAAAGGTTCACATCTTCCTTTCCAATTCGAATCCCCTTGATCCCCTTATGTTGTCTTATTGCTATTGCTAGAACTTCAAGCACTATATTGAAGAGGTATGGTGAGAGTGGACAGCCTTGTCGTGTTCCTGAGTTTAGTGGGATGGCTTTGAGTTTCTCTCCATTTAATTTGATGTTAGCTGTCGGCTTGCTGTATATAGCTTTTATTATATTTAGGTATGACCCTTGTATCTCTAATCTTTCCAAGACTTTTATCATAAAGGGATGTTGAATTTTGTCAAATGCTTTTTCAGCATCTAATGAAATGATCATATGATTTTTTTCTTTCAGTTTATTTATATGATGGATTACATTGATAGATTTTCATATGTTTAACCAGCCCTGCATCCCTGGGATGAAGCCTACTTGATCATAATGGATAATTTTTCTGATGTGTTCTTGGATTCAGTTTGCCAGTATTTTGTTGAGGATTTTTGCGTCGATGTTCATGAGTGAGATTGGTCTATAATTCTCTTTCTTGGTTGAGTCTTTGTGCGGTTTTGGTATCAGAGTAACTGTAGCTTCATAAAAGGAATTTGATAATGACTCTTCTGTTTCTATATTGTGAAATACATGAAGGAGTATAGGTATTAGCTCTTCTTGGAAGTTCTGATAGAATTCCGCATTGAAACCATCTGATCCTGGGCTTTTTTTGGTAGGGAGGATTTTGATAACCGCTTCTAATTCTTCGTGACTAACAGGTCTATTTAGATTGTTCACCTGGTCCTGGTTTAACTTTGGTATATGGTATTTATCTAAAAAAGTGTCCATTTCTTTTATATTTTCCAGTTTTGTGGCATATAGGCTTTTGTAGTAAGATCTAATGATTCTCTGAATTTCCTCTGTGTCTGTGGTTATGTCCCCCTTTTCATTTCTGATCTTATTAATTTGCAAATTCGCTCTCTGCCGTTTGATTAGTTTGGATAGGGGTTTGTCAATCTTGTTGATTTTCTCCAGGAACCAGCTTTTTATTTCATTGATCCTGTGTATTGTTTTCTGTGATTCTATTTTGTTGATTTCAGCCCTCAGTTTGATTATTTCCAGTCTTCTACTCCTCTTAGGTGAGTCTGCTTCTTTTTTTCTAGAGCTTTCAGGTGGGCTGTTAAGTCTCCAATGTGAGCTTTCTCTATTTTCTTTAAGTGGGCACTTAGTGCTATGAACTTTCCTCTTAGGCCTGCTTTCATAGTGTCCCATAAGTTTGAGTATGTTGTTTCTTTATTTTCATTGAATTCCAGGAAGACTTTAATTTCTTTCTTTATTTCTTCCTTAATCCAGGTATGGTTCAGTAGTTGACTGTTCAGTTTCCCTGAGTTTGTAGGATTTCTGGGGGTAGCATTGTTGTTGAATTCTAACTTTAATCCATGGTGATCTGATAAGACACAGGTGGTTACAAATATTTTTTTTGTAACTGTGGATGTTTGCTTTGTTACCGACTATGTGGTCGATTTTTGAGAAAGTTCCATGAGCTACAGAGAAGAAGGTATATTCTTTCCTATTTGGGTGGAATGTTCTATAGATGTCTGTTAAGTCCATTTGATTCATTACCTCCATTAATTCTCTTATTTCTCTGTTAGGTTTCTGTCTGATTGACCTGTCCATTGGTGAGAGAGGAGTGTTAAAGTCTCCTACTATTAGTGTGTGCGGTTTGATGGCTGCCTTGAGTTTTAGCAATGTTTCTTTTTTGTATGTGGGTGCTTTTATATTAGGGGCATAGATATTCAGGATTGAGACTTCATCCTGATGAACTGTTCCTGTTATGAGTATAAAAGGCCCCTCTCTGAACATGGTGAACAATGAGGGCTGATGAGAAGCCAAGAACAATGGCACGGGGTTTTGATTGTACGCAATGTGCTGGCTTTGTGGGAGCCTAGCCAGTTTGGATGTTCACCTTCCTAGATATGGACAGAGGGGGGAGGACCTAGGACTTACCACAGGGCAGGGAACCTTGACTGCTCTTTGGACTGGAGAGGGAGGAGGAGAGGAGTGGGAGGAGGGGGAGAAGGGTGGGAGGAGGGGGAGGGAAATGGGAGGCTGGGAGGAGGTGGAAACTTGTTTTTTTTTCTTCCCTTTCTCAATAAAAAATAAATAAATAAGCAATTACTGAATGTGAAAACACAAACTCTAAGGTGAAATATGGCATTTCACACAATGAAATCTTTTCAGTCCAGAAGAAGGTAGATTTTAGAAATTATTCTCAAAGGTTAGCAAGATGGCTCAGCAGGTTAAGACCCTGGTTACTATGCCTGAAGACTGGTGTGCCATCATGTGTGGGACTCACATGATGGAAGTAGAGAAACAATTCCTTAATTGTTCTCTGACCAATGCCTACAGATGCACACAAAAATGAATGAATGGATGGATGCAACAAAATATTAAAGTTCTTACAATCCTAGTCACCCTTTATTTATCTCCCCTAAGTGAAAAGATAACATAAATCATGTTTCAGATAGAAAAACAACTTAATGCTATATAGTAACTTAATAGTATATACATATAAGATGACAATCATATAAACTGATATTATTCAGAATAAACAAAAGCATAGCAAATAGAGATAGGAATTAATGGGTACTTTAGTGGTCAGGGAAGGGGGTTGGGGACAAAGGTCAGGTGGCTATTTATGGATATGAAAATTTTTTGGCAGAGGGCAGAATCAGAAGTGTTTTACAGTTGTTTCTACAGCTGTTTAGACAGTTCTATGACTATAGCTTTTAAAACTTGGAGCTTCACCTGAAATGTGAAAATTTTATGGCATATGAATAATAGCTTTAAAAATACTACTTAAAATAACACATACAGAATTTAAAATGATATATACTAACTCTCACTCTAATGCTTTATGTTACTGGATCACAAAATTAATGGCAAACAACAAAAGGAATTTGCAAAAAAAAAAATGAGGCCACTAGGTCAAATGTCATTGTGAGTACAAGTTCTCTCTGAGCAGCAGGCATCCATTATGCATGTCAGGCAATGACATAAGATCTGGGGACATACAGATGGAGTAGACTTAGTTCTGATTCCCCTGTATTTAACATTTTCTTCTAATACCGGGTCTGGCACACAAAATACATTCACTAAATAATTTATGAATGCATTTTGGTAATATTCTCCATAATGAAAATATAAAGTGTTTATAGAAAGGTGCAATCTTGTTAATCTCAATTCCTACAGCTCATTTCTTATTATAGTAATGATCATTCCTCTGCCTCTTTTCTTTTAAAATGTTATAATTAAAATTTCTTTGGTTGAAGACAGAAAAAACTGCTGTTATCACATGTATCGATTATAGTTTTCTCTAGCCCAACTCTGCCAAAAAGTCAAAAGTCTGCATAATGGTAATAAGGAATGTTTATGACAGTAGTGAAACTCTGTGAGACACTGTGTGAATCATCAAGAAAATGTTAAAGTTGTAATTATTCAATTACTGTTCTTATTGAATTAGTAAACAATGTAGAACAATTTTAGCTAAATATATCATTCAATTAATAAGAATGCCCTAGGCCCCAGAATAAATAAATTTTATATAATTTTAAATACGTCTTCTGTAGGAAGAGCTATATGCCATATTTTCTTATTTGCCCTGAATAATTCATAATTATTAGGGTGAAAAGATAAGGAACTGAATGAAAGAAGTGCTCTTATAAGGAGTCTTCAATTTTTCATAATTATCTATTTTATGTGGGTAGGTAGTGGTTTGAATGGAGTTTGGCTGTGCACCACTTGCATGCAGAAGCTAGAATAGGGCATAAAAATCCCTCAGGAACTGGAGACAGTTGTGAGCTGCCATGTGGGTACTAGAAATTGAAGTCAGGTTCTTAGGAAGAGCAGAAATTCTTAACCACTGATTCTTTTCTCCAGCCCCAAGGAAATGAATCTCATACTGATGCTAAAATCTGAGTCTGAGGGACCACTAATTCATGCAGAGACACATTACACAGCAAAAACTACTTATTAACAAAAGCTGTAAAAAAACGGTATTTCATAGTTAATTTCATTTGAGTTTTATTAAACTGACTAGTGAGTTTAGCTTCACTAAACTGTGAGAATTTATTTAAAAACACAACCTCTGCATCATGTATCAAACACTGCGGGGAAATGCCATCTATGTGTAATGGCATCAAACACAACAGCAGGAAAATGAGCTAAGGTGTGGAAGGTCTTTAGTAGGACCCAGGTCATATCTAGGTAAATATTAGGTGAGCCTATCTTCTAGTTCATAAGTGTTCTCTGCCTTTGAGGACAGCTTTCATTCAATACAAGACAGCTGAAATGAATAGTTCAACAGATTTTAGGAAAGAGATTTCACAAAGGTTAAGGCTTTAACAAGCAACTCTGTTGAAAGTGAAAATTGACATAGTCTGAAGATCAATGGTCTGGATACAAGGGAGCCATCAAGCTTTGACCTTAGAACCTTCAAAGAGACATGTAATTGCTTCATCTTTCTTGGAGGTCAGCTGGAGGTAGAGAGAGAGAGAGACAGACAGACAGAGAGATAGAGATAGAAAGAGAGAGAGAGAGAGAGAGAGAGAGAGAGAGCGCTGGAAAAACAATATACACCCTGAAGCAAATAATAGTTAAAACTACTAAAGCTACTAAATAATAGCTCATTTCAATCAGATCAATTAGATGACATGCTAGACTAAGGAGGTAACAGGTGACAGAGAATAAGATTTTGTGGTAATTAAACAAGTGTATGTACTGAATAAAGAGGGAAAAGAAAAGCAGTGAAGGCAAACCAAATAAAAGCAAGATATGTCTCTAGGTACATGCCATGGGCAGGAAACAAGTAAAATCATTTAGCTAAGCTGCATAAGCCCTGGAATATAAAAGTGAAATAAAAACCAGAAATTAAGATATGGCATTTGCTTTCCTGGTACAGTTAATATCCTTACAAGCCACCAAATTCACACTCATCTGTGAAGGGAATTTGTTTTTAGGAAGCATTGCTGTTAGAGATAGAAATGATTACAATAAATGAGGCAACTCGACAAACCAGGCAGATTGGAGGGTTAAAAAAATAAAAAGAAGATGATGCTATGATAATACTAGATTCTAGACATTTATACATACTGTACTAACAAAATTCTGGCTTTACCTTGTATTGAAAAATCTTCTATTTCTGGGTAAAATAAGAAATCAGTACAGTTCTGTCAGTGAGACCCGCATAGCACTCAGTTTATCACCTCTCAATGTTTACAAGGATAACCTAGACCCTACACAAGAAAATGAATTGTAAGAAATGACCTGATTTTTTAACCTATAGAATGAGGCTCATTAAGCATAAATCATCTGATATTTCTTTAGACTAAAACATAGACAAAGATTTAGAGATATTTGATGTGCTTAAAGGAGCCTGGTGGGTGGGTATGAGTACAATGATTTCTTTGGAGAGGACAGTCTGAATACTTCTGGCTGCTATTCATGAACCTGAAAGGTAAGAAAGATAAGGTACTGTCTTCAGAACCTTACCACAATCTGCCCGCCACCCCCAAACACACACTGTCAATCAGTCTTATAGTGGTAAAGAGAACACCATCCTTTGTAGGAAACGAACTTTCCTGTAAGGTGATGAGGCTAATTTTCATAAAGGTTCAGAATGCACAACACCATGGAGAATGTTGAACTCCATGGAGAAACAAACAAGGCCACACAGCATTCTTCTGCTGCTACATGTTTCAGCAAAACTACTGACAATGCTCTAAACCACAAAGTTTCAGATGATTGCCGAATAACCAAAAGACAATAAAAGCCTGTAGACATACAAGCTTCTGCAAGAGAAGAATGTGTTTTAATGTATGAAAAGTTCATATTGCTCGCAAAGTTGCTTCTCCCTCATTTAGGCAGGAAAATGAATTGAGTTCTCTTCTGCAGGTGACTTTGCCTCTTTGACCTGCCATTGCCCAGTGCTCACTTTATCTGGTGATTCATTTTCAATAACTCCAACAGTATTTGTTCTGACATTTTAATTAAAATATGACCACTACCTCATCCTGATGATAAAAAGTGTCAGTGCAAACTAGCTCTGCAGTGCCTCGGTGCACCTGAGGACCCCTCTGGCATAGTTCTTGCTAAAGAATTTCCCTGGGGTTCCAAACAATACATCATTTCAAACCGGGATAACTTGAACCATTAAGGTTAATCTTAAAAATCTAAAATGGCTAGTGGATGCTAGTTAGCCAACATGCAATTTCCGCCAGCTTGATTTTGTAAACCAGAAAATTAAATGTAGTTAAAAAGTGAGGAATAATGATATGTTAAGTGTATTATGTGGCACAGTGATAAACTGCAATTATAATGGAGACACTATGAAAATGATAATCTTGGTTATGAGCAAGATACAGATGCAATTAAAGCCTGAAGACTCTACATTAGGTTGAGGAATATGGTTGTATATATTATAAGTTAGAAATCACAATTTTAACAGTAACTCAAACATTCATACAATACATTCAAATGAAAAATATACATAAATAGACTAAATTTAAACTCAAATGAAGTTTTTCAGATTGAAAGAATTTATACAACTGGGGGTTTCAAAAAGAAATGAGATTAGCAGGTATAAATAGAACACTGTGTCTTATATGTAAATGTTTATATCTCACTCTGTATCATCTCTGCATTAAGAAAGTAGTCAACACACAGGAGACCGAAATACATAAACACTAGGAATAAAAACAAATGGCTGGCTGAATAAATGTATCATTTAAAGAAAACTGCAATGTAAGAAGGGAAGACAGTGAAAGGGATCTAGAGAACACAAAAATGCTTTAATGAAAATGACCTTTACTTCACACACATGAAGAAGAGTTATCACATTATATTTTTGATCACTCACATATTATATATGCAATATTTTTTTCCACTCAGAGCTACTAGCTGTACCGTACTATGGGTGGGGTGATTTTAAAAGTTCAAAGTGGAAATGTATTCTTTAACTATGAGTCAGAAACAGATACAATTTGTAAAGCTAAGTATTTGGCATATAGCACTTTAAAGATAATTATAGTCAGGACTTATATACTTGCCAATTAATATTTTAATCTTTTGAAAGTTAAATAAACATTTTATAAAGAACTATATATTTTTCATAAAAATCCTGCAAAAGAAATATAGCTATGAAAAAGTGCCTGTAATACTAACAAAACTAATTAATAAATTTCCCAACAGTACTTCCCCTTTCTCAGGCATGTGAGTATGTATGCATATAAATGTGCATTTGATAATTATGGGGTTTTTGTCTATACGTGTGAGTACTTTCCCTTAACAATAAAGACTGCACATCTTTTCTTTGTGCAATGACTATGTTCAAAATCCTTAGTAAATATGTGGGAGTAATTGCTGAATAAAAAAATTAAAATACTGAACTTTAATTCAGGCTCAGTTCAGTTCCTGAGATATCTAAGGGGAATATCATGTTACATTAACTGTCCACCACAACTGCCCTATTTTCTTACCTGCTTCCATTTCTGTATATGGAGTAAACAATTTCTGTACTACTGGTTCTAAATCTTCTCTTGCTGTTTTAGAAGACACACAAGTCAATGCACCAAATCTGGAAAAAAAAACACAAAACCATCTTGACTACCTGCTTATCGTAACTGTTTTATTCATATTCAAAGTACTAAGTATCATGGGCAGTAGTGATTGAACAAATCAGGGATCCTCTGTTCAATGAATTTACAATCTAATAATAAGGGTACAGGTAAAACCAATATATCATGCCATACAAAAAATTAAATGTATATGAATGATAGTTCAAAGAAAAAAATCACACTAACACCCAAAGGTAAGTAACAGCTAAAGTTAATTTTGCAAAACATAAAAAAGGTAAGTAACAGCTAAAGTTAATTTTGCAAAACATAAAGTAATGAAGCTTACGAAATCATTTGTATATGCACGCACATGTCTCTCTCTCTTTCAAACACACACACACACACACACACACACACACACACACACAAACACACACACACGGGTGGTGAGAGCGAGCAAAGTATATTTATTAGCAAAAAGAAGAATCCATTATTAACACTTGGTTGATAAGTTAACAACAAATCATCTATCATTTCAGAGATTTCATAAAACCTTTTTGAGGAAACACTGATGACTTAGTTTGAATCATAGAATACTTCAAAGTCCATAAAATGGGAGTCAAAAGTCTATATAATATTTTGAGGAATTCTAAATTACTCACACCACCTAGACCTGGATAATGTTTAGGTTTGAGAATATACTCTCATGTGCAAGGACTGACAGAACTTCTTAAGGTATATGTCCAAAGAGAAAGTGTAGTGGCATTTTCTTTGGGCCTCCGATCAGCTTCTCATGGGGACTTATTATTAATTATGAATGCTTGGCTTTAGCTTAGGCTTTGCCCCATTAGCTTTTTAATGTTAAGTTGTTTTTGTTCATCTACGGTTTGTCTCAGGGCTTTTTAACTTTCTTTATTCTGTAAGTCTGACTTTGCTGCATCTTCCATGTTTGTCTATCTGGCCAATCTACCCACTGTCTCCTTTTCTTTTCTCTTCTCCCTTGACACCACCTCATCCTAAATTCCTCCTCCTACTTATTCTCCCTGCCTAGAAGTTCCACCTATAGCTCTTCCCTTGCTATTGGCTGTTTAGCTTTTATTAGAACAATAAGGTGCCTTTTACAAATCAGGTAAAAAACAGCAACACATCTTTGCACAGTTAAACAAATTTTCCACAACGAGAAAGTCTTATGTACTGAAAGATAGACTGTGTGTATAGTGGGATAAAATATCAGCAAAAAACAATATAACAATATAACAGAGAAGAGAAAGTACCAAGACATTCTTTTCCAAATATACCACTAAAAAGGCATATACATCTCTCTTCTAAGAGTTTTACAATAGTAGAATTTTGAACAACCCTGTAAAGATATTTCAAATTTTATGAAAGCCCAAATCAAAATAGGACTCTTACATTTAAATTCATTCCATAGATATAGAAAGTGTAGCATATATCCACACCAGAGTTTTAACTAGCCATAAAGAAGAACCAAATCATGTGGTCTATATGAAACTAGATGGAATTTAATATTATTCTGCCAAACAAAATAAGTCAGACCCAAAAGACAAGTATCCCCCCCTTTTTATAAGTGTATAATTTTGGGAGAAGGTGCGTGGACACAGAAGTGGGAGTACTTAGGGTGTAAAAAGAGAAGGCGTGAGGAAACCTAGAAAGGTTACCAGGTGTATGTGACTATCATCAGAGCACATTTCATGAGTGTATGCAAACGTTATAATAAAATCTGTTCCTTTGTATAATTAATACATAATAAAATCAATCTCTTATTCAAATGATGGAAAATATTGGTGAATGAAATGGGGAACTGTGGGTATATGTGTGTGTGTGACAGAGATGTGTGATGTATATGTGTGTCAGGAGCAGGTGAGCTTTCCTGTGAGGGTGATGTGTTGAGGTCAGAGGCTGACATTGTGATGTACTCCTCAGTAGGATCTTATTTTCTGAGACAGTGTCTTTCACTGGTCCTGGGGGCTCTGGGTTTCAGCTAGAATGGCTTGCCAGTAGACCCCCAGGGGTCCATCTGTCTCTGCTTCTTAGCACTGAGACTGCAGGAGTGAGTGGTTTTCAAATGGGTGCTGGGGATCATAATTCAAGTTCTCATCTTACACGAGCACTTTATGCAAAGAACCCTATCCTAAGCCCTGGGGAACTTTTATACATGTGATCAAAATATCAAACTTTGTAGCCCTCCTGGTCTACCAAAGAAAGTCATATTACAGTTTACTTTAATAATTTTAAATTTCTCTGATTCCACTTTGGAGTTCTTTGTATTAGAGATTATTAAGCGTTATTTTAAATTAGGATTATTTTTGAAATTGAACTATCAATCTTTATACCTCATGGATCCTTTGCGGGACCAAACTTTAAAAATCACTTTTCTCTATTTCTCAAACAAAACTTTTACTTAGTCAGTGTTTAATAAACACACTTGTTGCTAATGAAATGTCCTTGTCATGAGCTCGTATTAATTACTGCCATCGTTCAAGAGTCATGTACACACCAATCCCCCTCATACACACATATGAGTATGAGTACAATCTGACTGACTTCTTATGTGAAATGCAGGAAATTCATATACCATGACAAAAGCACAGAAAGTTCTAAGAGATCTCACCACCCTCAAATTAAATCTGGCCAAGAATTGCTCATAAAATTATAAGATGCATTAAAGAAATTCTTAAATAAATTTAAAAAATCCTAGAATTGTCTGTGCATGCATGTTATAAACACTATTTTATTTCGCACATACAACATTATCATTCTAATGGAGAAAAGAGGTGGAAGGTTAAGAGTGGAGCAGATATCTCAAAGCCGGTAAAAGGAAAAACTGGGACTCAGCTTGATGAGTACCACGTATGTGCCTGGGGAACATCTGTCCTCTCTACTGTCATGAGAAGATAGACTGTGACTGTCGACCTCTGTAGAAAACACAGATAGTCATTACAGTCAGTAGTGCACATTATAATACAAAACATTTTCTAAGTTATGCTAAGTATATAGAAGTCACTACATAGAAGTTCGATCCTACTTTCCTCCACTTCACCATGTGATGCTTTTCAATCACTTTTACTTTTCTGTTTATCTCACAAAATCATCATGCATTGATGGTAACCCAATGTTCAAAGTTTACAGTTCTGTGAGATTTTCAAAAGTTCTATTCTAGGTTTTGTCTGCTAGGTCTCTGGCCAGCAAGGGGTCCTGATCCTGTACCAGAATATCCAATGGAGGGGTGAGTGTGTTCCGGACTGGTGGCAGAAGCCCCATTCTGCCCCAGAAATGGAGAGCCGACATTCCTCAACCCCCTAATCTTTCTGGTCATTCTGCAGGGGCTTCTCTCCCCAGCTACTGACTCTCTCTTCCTATCCCATCCCAGCTTCTGCACAGGCGCCCCGTACCTTCTCTGGGGACATAAGACCCCCCCCACCCCCAGCTCAGCCTGTATTTGGGCCAGGACCTGGTGATGAGTACAACCGGGCAGGAGTTCCTTTGTTTCACTAAGCTTGCAGGCACCAAACTAGACCTTTTGTCTGCAAGGTCCCTGGACAGCAAGGGGCCCTGATCCTGTACCAGAAGATCCACCTGAGAGCATTTGAAGGAAGAGATGGGCACGCGCCAATGCAAGAATTCCTCCAACAATCTGAAAAACAACATGGTAACACCAGAACTTAGCGAACATACAACAGGAAGACATGAACACCCTAATCCAGATGATGTAGAAAAAATTGACATTATGAAAGTGATAGACTCCCTTAAACAGGATATGAAAAACTCCCTTAACAAAATGGATGAGAAGAATAACAAAAAGTTTGAAGATATGAGTAAATCCGTAAAAGATACCCTAGGAAACCAAGAAAAAACAATCAAAGAGATAATGGAAACAGTTCAAGACTTGAAAACTGAAATGGAGGTAATGAAGAAAACACAAACCGAGGGCCGGCTGGATATGAAAAATCTAGGTAAATGAACAGAGACTACAGAAACAAGCATAACCAGCAGAATACAAGAGATAGAAGAAAGCATCTCAGCTGCTGAAGACACCATAGAGAAAATAAATGCACTGATCAAAGAAAATAGCAAATCCAACAAATTCTCATCACAAAACATTCAGGAAATCAGGGACACAATAAAAAGACTAAACCTAAGAATTATAGGGTTAGAAGAAGGAGAAGAATTACAGCTCAAAGGTCCAGAAAATATATTCAACAAAATAATAGAAGAAAACTTTCCCAACCTAAAGAAAGATATTCCTATGAAGGTTCAAGAAGCATACAGAACACCTAATAGACTAAATAAAAAAAAAATCCCCTCACCATATAATAATCAAAACACAAAACATACAGAATAAAGAAAGAATATTAAGAGCTGCAAAGGAAAAAGGTCAAGTAACTTATAATGGTAAACCGATCAGACTTACACCTGACTTCTCTATGGAAACCATGAAAGCCAGAAGATCTTGGATAGATGTGCTGCAGAAACTAAGAGACCATGGATGCAAGCCCAGACCACTATACTCAGCCAAGCTTTCATTCACCATCAATGGAGAAAACAAAATTTTCCAGGATAAAAACAAATTTAAACAATACGTAGCCACAAATCCAGCCTTACAGAAAGTAATAGAAGGAAAATCACAAACCAAGGAATCCAACAATGACCACAATAACTCAGAAACCTAGCAACCCTTCACCAGCACAACTCAAAGAAGGGAAACACATAAACTACCACCCAAAAAGGAAAAAAAATAATAAACAGAGTGAACAACCACTGGTCATTAATATCACTTAATATCAATGGACTCAATTCACCTATACAAAGGCACAGGCTAAGAGATTGGATACGAAAACAGGATCCAACATTCTGCTGTTTATAAGAAACACACCTCAACCACAAAGACAGACATCTACTCAGAGTAAAGGGTTGGGAAAAGGTTTTCAAGCAAACAGACCTAAGAAACAAGCAGGTGTAGCCATTCTAATTTCTAACAAAATTGCCTTCAAACTAAAAC